TCTTAAACAACACATAGTAGGGACAGCAAACTTAGGCGTTTGTATTTTCCTTTCTGTGTGCTGACATACCAGGTGGAGACCAGAGATGAGTGGTGTCCATCGGGGTTCTGCACTGGGATGAGCACTGTCTAATATTTTCAGTGTTAACATGGGCAGTGGAATTGAATGCACCTCAGCAAGTCTGTGAATGTCACCAAGCTGAGTGATGCCGTTGACACTCTGGAGGGAAGGAAAAACATCCAGAGGGATCCGGACAGGCTTGAGAAGCGAGCCCATACAAAACTGAAGAAGTTCACCAAGACCAAGTTGCAAGGTTGTGCACTGAAGTTGGGGCAATTCCACATATCACTACAGACTGGGTGACAAATAGATTGAGAGCAGCCCTGCAGAGAAGGACTTAGGGGTACTAGTGGATACATCAAAAGAAACATGGCCAACAGATCAAGGAGATGATTCATCCTTTCTACTCCACCCTGCATTAGTTGCCTGAATCCAGCTGTGGGGCCCTCAGCACAAGAGAAACAGTGACCTCTTAGAGCAGGTTCAGAGGAGACCATGAGGATGCTCAGAGGGCTGGAGCGCCTCTACTGTGAGGATAGGCTGAAAGAGTTGGATTGTTTGTCTCCAGGGAGACCTCATTGCAGCCTTCCAGCACTGGAAGAGGGCCTTCAGGGAGAGGCTCTGTAAAGTTTCACCATCGTTAGCAGAGAGTAGAGGAAATTACTGAAGGAAAAGATTTTAAGACTATGCAAGTTTGTCCTTCCTAACATGCCCAATTTATCAGTTCAGTAGATTTTAGCATAAAAGTCCATGGTCTTTGTACAAAGAACTACAGTGAAAATCCAGAACAGCCAGCGGCATTTTCTAAGTGATGGTGGTGAGCCAGCATTTGATACATTCCCTGTGAGTAATTTATGTCACTCCTAGAAGGGGAAGCACTTCACCAAGGAAATAAATATGGCAGGAGAATTATGTCATTGGCACTATCATTGACTAAAATTAATTGATGATGCAGTGCCTTCATTATGCTAAAAGGGCTGGGTATAGATACAGTCCACTGGAAAAAAAACAGTGACCAATTTGTCACCTTTTTTTATTTTCTAATGTTTATGCCACAGAAACTGACAGATTCTAAAAAGCACAGAAGCACCATTTGTGTATATGATTTGGGAATATGTCCATTGTTAATTAACTGTAAGAAATTTTGTATTGGGCTTCCAACCAACTGATAATGGAAATTTGTTCTACAGGAAATTCTTTTTAGGCACTCTTCTTATTTCCCATTTATTGTAATTTTTAGTTCTTGTTTGCTTTTTTTCTGAGTGCAGAACTACAAGTTGGTTTTCAAAGACCTTTGTTAGTTTGTCCAACAGAAATTTTAGAAATGCAATTTAACTTCCACTCATTAGAGGATTTAAGTAGCTATTGGGCAATGTGACAAATCATTCAAAAAAGACACTGAGTTGAAGACTGTTACCCTGCATCTTGTAAATAGCAGTGACTCCTTGTTTTGGGGGTAAATAGAATAATTGTACAAAGATTGCACTGGGAAAAAGGAAGAAAATCTATTATCACAGCTGGCTGCAGCATTTCTTTGTGCTTCCCTAAACAACAGTTTGGAAGTAGTTTGACCTTTCAACTTGGGCTGTGTTAGATGCAAACTCTCTTTTAGGCAGCACATAAGATTTGTTGTGCACGAAGCAATTGACAGTCATGCAGGTTACACTGGTTATCTTTAGTGGGGCAAAGAAATGGCAACCAGAAGATTATATGGAGAATATGGATGCTTTCTGGTGCTTTTACTGCTGCTGAGCAATACTGCCTGGTTTCTTGAAGCAAAAACGCTTCCTAGAAAATTACCATAGGAAATTCTCATACAATTGTTTATTTCTAACTTACAGTTTGTTTGGTTTTTAACCTTTTGTTTTGGTTGTTGGAATTTGTTCTTCGTAGTAATATTCTATTTTATATAATCTAGAGTCCCCCAAATGTACACGCTTTTCTTATGCAGCTGTAGAACTTCAATCGCTCTCATTTCAGTAATTATTTAAAGTACTGGCAGTGAGTATATAACTGGCTTCTGTGATGACAATGCAGCTCCTAAATAATAGAAGTTGGGTTCAAATGAACTAGAGTGTTTTATGCTCCCAAGCACAGATAACTTCATGAACTGACATCCCCTGGAGTTCAGGGGCATTTCAATGTGTAAAGTGCTTGACTGACCAGCTAAGGAGAATTTTTTTCTTTGAGTATATATACTTCATTGCACTGATCTCTCCCTGCTATTTTTAATGTATCGTGTACAACAATTCTAGCTCACAAATACGCAGTGTTTAGAGCGTTCCATAAAAATAGTTGCAGTTGAAGTTCTGTTGTAAATGTCTTTCTGATATACACCAGTCAGATACTGTGAATTCTGAGTGTGATCCTCTTGAGCTGAAATTTTTCCTGGTTGTAATGTAATTTTTTTTGATGTTGCAGTAAGAAAATATTTCTTTTTACTTGAGTGTTGAGATTAGACAGCATATTTTGCTTCTTTAAAATCTCTCAGGAGCCTTTCTGCACGTGTAAAACATCATTAGTGTGAACTTAAAAAATACATTCCTATTTAGCACTTTTTTCCATAGCCAAGAAGGACAGCCAGAGAAGTATTACTTCTGTTGTAACTGATCAGTTGCATCAGTTTTGAACATCATGTGAAGTAGTACTCAAAAATGCTGTTTTGTGGAACGGGACATCTTACATACTAAATAAAATCTCCAGTTAGAAAAATTTGAACTTATGCATGCATAAAGTAGTTGAAGGGAATGAGTATTTATTTCCCGCTAGCCTTTCCTTATTTTAGTCATCTTCTGTTTGTTCCCTGAGGAAAAGGGATGCTAATGAGTGGAATTCTCGAACAGCAGACGTGTCTGTGCCACTCTGTTCTAATGAGAGGTGGATACCCTCCAAGTTACTGCCTAGGCTTAATACCTCATGAAATGAAAAATGGCTTGTGGAAAGGCCGACATTTTTGCACAAACTGATATAAATCTTCAATTTTTCTGCCCCCCAGTTTGCATGTGTTTAAATGCATAATGCTAACCTTGTTTTCTGGTAGGATTATTTTTCATTTTCTAATCGTTTTTTTTCTTTCTTCTTTCCCTCCAGTATTAAAATCTAATTTTTACATGTGAAGCTGGTCTGTAAAGTATGATTAATTCAAATGGCTTTACCTCTTTTAATAACAAAACGTAGTTTCAGGCAGAGCCAGGCGTCAGCATAGTTTTAAGAAATGCTGTGAACCTTGGGATCTATTATTTTTCAAGCTCCTACGTAGTGTAGCATAGCCTACCCCAACTAATTATCATTTATTACAGTGATTGCCATTAGTGACTGCTATAATTGTAGTTGCGTATCAGTTCCTATTATAATCCCTTGTTTTCACACAATCATATAACTTGCCAAAGCGTTAGCCTTTAGGACAAAAGTTTTCTGTCGTAGTGTTCTCCTTACAGGTAAATTCTGGGGAAGAGAGGAGGAAAAAGAGTTGTAACTGTCCTTATAGAAAGTCCTCATCTGGGCATTTTGAGTTGAGGATCAGCTAAATTGCGTAGCAAGAAGCTGAATAATTACCATCGTTCTGGGGGACTAAGAAAACTTAGAAGTTAAAGGATAAAGAGTACAGTACCTTTAATTTTGACCACTCTTACTGTTTTGCCTTTCAGTATCTCTTCATAACACTGCAAACAGTTGTTAGTCTTACTTTCTTTGTATCTACATCTCATAGCATCGTTTAACAACGTTAATTTTAGTGATGGTGGGAAATGTTTGATAGCTTGGAAAAGTGGATACAAGGTAAACAGCCAGGTGTTGATTCATGATTCCAGTCCTGAATCTGGTGCTGGTTTTTGGGTAAAAAGTGAGATGGGGAGGGCAGTAGAAGAGAGCATTTTCTATGATTATTTTCCTGGCAATAGCTGCTAAATGTCAGTAACTGCTGCAAAGCTTTTCCCTGGGTAGAAAATGACATCTTCCTGTACCGCTGCAGATAACCCCGTCTGCAAACTTTTTATGGTGACCACTATATAAAGAATGTGTAAGTTCACATTTATAGTGGTTTGAGCATGACTTGACAATTTATTATATCATATAAAGAAATCACATTTTGAGGCATAATATAAGGGAGTGCTTGGGCAGACAGAGTAAAGGATAAGCTCTGAAGCCTAACATTCATTTCCTGTGCTTGTTTTATCATCCCTAACATTACATTAGCACCATTTCTTTGCATAGAACTCATTTTAAGAAATAGTGATTGGTTCTTCCAGCCAGCCCTCTGGGACAGTGTTTTAATTATTTTCATGAGATATATGATAATAAACTGAAGTACAGTAGAAATGACAATTTTTGTTACATTCAGAAATTGTTCCTTCACTAGTCTGTCTGCAAACTGTTACTGCTGTAAACATCTGTCTTTATAAGATGTTGTGAAATTCTACGTGGGTATGATTAACTGAAAAATAAATCATAGCATGAAAAAAGCACAAGCCTTCAGAAAGATAATCTTTTTGGAGACCTCATTGTCCGCAGAGGGTCTTATGAGTCAGTGAGATGTCTTGTGCATGAGAAGGTTTCCACATCTGGATTCTTTTTACCAATTGAGGTCTTTGATCTGAAAATGTTACAGCTCTCCTATGCCCTGTAATTTGTCTGGCAAGATGAGTTATTTACAAATGCAATTGCTCTTCTGACAACTCAGTTTTGAGCGTGTAAGTGCTGGGGTCCTGATCTGTAACCCACAAGGACTGCTGGTAGTACTTTTATTGGTTTCAGTGAGCTTTGATTCAGGTTTTTTGACTTTGAAGTGCCCCAGGTGGATTAGGGTGGGGAAAAAAAAAAGAATTTTTACAAATGATTATAATTTAAAGATTTAGTCTGCTGTGCATCTGAAATAATTTGACAGTGCTTCAAGGGTGTGTGAATTTTAATAAGTTTCTGATCGTTGTCTTTTATTCCTACAGTGGCAGATGAAAGCAAAGTTGGTTCCTTGGCCGGACACAGATCAGGTAAGCTGTTCTTCTATTTTGGAGGAAGAGCAAGCAACCTGAAAGTAGGATGGCCAGTAAATGAAGTCAGCCTGCACAAACTGTGGTGCCCAAATAGGTTGCAAATTAAGGCATTACTTTGTATTCCCTGATTCTGGGTTGTGCAGCAATGAATTAGTACTGTTCTTTGCCAAGCAGCATATGTAGCTGAGTCATTTGCAGGAAGAGATGTCTCTTTTTTTCAGTTTAGGTGTTGCAAACTGAAGAAAATGAGGGTTCACATGTCATGTAGTGGCTTAAACAATAGAAACTTCAAAAAACGTAGTTTTTCTCCTTGCTCTGAGTTCCACTTCCACTACTAGAATTATTGAAGATAACACAAAATATTCTGTAGTTAAAAAAAAAAAAAACAAAAAAAACACATCAGAGTTTTTCCTCCCATCATGTTTATGCAGTAGAGATTACTGTTTTTAAAACTTTTCTGGCCACTGTCATAAAAAAAAAAAAAAAGGAAAAGGATAATTAGTCCATAATGTTGTCGTTACTGTTCCTACTTATTAAACAATTTGCACAAACCACACCATGCTACTGTACAACTTGCAGTTCTTATAATATAAGAACTTTTAAGGAAATGCTGTAAGATTGTAAATTTTTACAAGGCATGAATAAGCTGACATAAGAAACCTTGAAAACTTCCTAGAAAACTCAAGTTATTCGGTGATCTCTTTTAATGTTAGGAAGCCCTGAAGTTTCTGGCTGCCCCTTTGCTGTATGATTGCACGTTGACTTTTTCCACCCCTTTGACAGAACTAAATAGCTGAGTTTGTGTGAAGGAAGGTCAGCTGTGAGATTCCTGGTTGTTTATGGTATTCCTTCCCTGTACAACTGGGTGTCCTCCTTTGGTTTTGTTATCTTGTAGTTCTCTGGTATGGATTTTCCTTATCTGAAGACCTTTTCCTGAACTTAAAGTAGACACATTCTTTTTACATTCTTTTGGCTTCTTTCCTAAGTCTGTGAGCCTCTTGGATTCTCTTTCTGAATAAAGAGCTAGTTCATATGTATTGTAACATTATCACTCCTGTGGAGAAAAAAATCTTTCAACTTCTTGTTTTGGGAATGTGAAAGCTTCAAAGAAAGGATCTTGTCAAGTAGGAGAAGCAAGGGGTGTTGCCCTGTTGTTTTTTTTATCCTATGCAGAGAAATTACAACAAGCATGCAATATCATGCAGTATTCTAAAGATCACCAGAATTTACTGCTGTCGGAGGATATTGAAAGGAAACCTGGTGAGATCAGAAATCTTTGTCAGTCAGTTATTACAGACTTATTAAGCTTTAGACCATTTTTAGCAGCATTTGATCTTTCTTCTGCATACTTCTCCAGATTATTGAAAACAGCAGCTTTCAATTTGATCTCTTTGAAGACACCTAAGAATTTTATATGAAAATGTGTGCCCATGCTTACTGACTTTTGTCTCATTTGCTTTTCTTACCTTCCATGGACCTCTTCCATGTACTTAAGATCTTTTTCTAATAGGCTAAAATCTCTGGCCAGCAGATCAGCTAAGAGCCAAAATTTCCTACTGATTCTCATCTGTCTCTCTCTTTCTTTTCCTCCTTTAGAATAAAAGGAACTAGCTACTTCTGAGAAGGATAGAATGTAAATTATTTTCTTGGTTCTGTCCACTTTAAATATTCTTCAGATACTGTTGAAATGTTATTTTCCCCTTTAAGGTTCCATTTCCTGTCCCCTCATGAAAAGAAATCAAGCTGCACTTTCACCTTTCTTGTTGTTCCACTAAAGGTTTGTTCAAGAACGTAAAGTTCTTTTTACCTGATCTCTTTTTACTATTTGATATTTGGAATTTGTATCATGTAAGTATGTTTCTGGCATTCCATTGCATTGCAGAACTCTTTTTGTAACATCTTTCATTGTGCTGCCTTCTGCCTTCCTGTAGGCACCTTTTTAAAGAAAGCTGTAAGGGAAATATTGCAGGTTCTTGTGCTGGGAGCAAAACACTTAATTTCTCATTATATAAAGAAGAGTTTCCATCCCATTCTAGACTTCAGGAAATTAAGCATATTTCTCTACAGAATTAATTATCACTTGCTGACAATCAATGCAATTATCCCTTCTCTCCTTCAACATGACTTGTTCTATGAAATACACAGATGAGTAATTCTCTCTGGGGAAATATCCTTTCTGTTCTTCTGAGGCAGTGGCTCTTGAAGCATTTTGTCCCAGCTTTTGCTATAGCTCCTGTATCCCTTGCATGTTACATGGTACTGAGCTCAGGAGTTAGTTTGTGTTAATTTCATAGTGTTACCACAACTCTGCAGAAGACCAAAGCATGAAAAGTATCTGTTCTGCAGCCCGTCTTCCTGTCTTTTTATATACTGCACCCACAAACAGCTGTTCCATATTCTTTTCCATAAAAAAAAGATCTGATTTTAGAAGCAAGTCTGGATATACTCTGAAACTAAACATGCATGGGAAGATGGCTGGAGGACCATTCTTGTGTTTTACTTTCACAGAGATGCAATAGAAATGCTTCATAGAATTCTGATTCCCATAGCTGGCCTCTCTTTTCAGAGGAGGAGTACTTCTGCAGAGCTTACAGGTGTTAGTGTTGTTGCAAATGCTTCCTGCAGCACCAATACACAAGCACTGGAATCCTGTGTTGATGTGGCCTGCTTTGTCCGTTGGGGCAAAGTGTGTGTGCAAGATATCCTCTCTTCCTAAATTCTGTAAAAGGAGGAATTTTTTCTACTGCAGTCTTCTCTGTGCTTAGCAAAAGTGAGTCTGCATTCCTTAAACACCACTCCATGAGGATGAGAAGCACACAAGTGGGGCCTCTATATTAGAGCAGATATGAAATCAACTTTTCATGATCTCTTTAGCATTTTAGAAAAGTAGTTGCAGAACAGCTAGGGAATGGCAGGATTGTTTTTACAACACGTATAACCTGATTTATATTGAATACAGAATACTGAATTCTTTGCGGCTGTGTTTTTTTCTTCCTTCCAAATTTTTTTTGTGTGTTCTGATTTATTGCTTAGAACACTTTTAATATGTATTGACTGTCTGCTGAGGTCTCTGCTGACACAGCTCTTTCAGATGATGCAGTGCTGGAGAAAAGCTGATGAGACTTTCTTTATGAGCTCTGACATATTAATTAGCAAAATGGGCAAAAAAGCTTTCCTATTTTTATTTTAATGTCACTAGACCATGCTTTTGGCTTGGATTATGTTTGGAGACAGTTCTGAAGCAAGATGAGTTGCAGATCTTATTTTCTTGCTGGTTGTTATGCAAGGGATGTAACACTGGACTATGGATTTCTACTGGCACTATTGAGTGCTGTAGGGTAGCTCTGTTACCAAGCTGAGTCTTTGGCTACTTTATATAAATGCTGTATGGCAAGAGGTACCTACCTGAGTAGGAAAGGGTCTACTGGGGTAATTTGAAGGATGCATTTTGTCAAATAATGACCCTTATTTTACATTTTGTTGCCACTGTGACTACATGGTTATGGTTCAACCTTGGGAAGGATCAGCATTTTGGGAAAGAAGGTCTGAGAAGGTGAGTATATAGTTTGATCCTATGAGGTCAGGGCTTTGATGAGAGCGATGTGTCAACAGCTCTGTTAAATTCCAATCCGTACTGCTTCACATAGATTAACAGAGTTCTTGTTGAAACGGGATTCAGACTAGTGCTGGAGTTGGCTTATAATAAAGTGGGTTAAAGGTCTTGATGCATCTCTGCGTGCTTTTAGTGCCAAATTTCATTAAGGCTAGAATGATGATTAAGATCATGGTTTAGGACAGGAGTGGTAGAAAAGTTAGTTTATTGCCAGATTTTTATGATCCATTGCAATGCATTAAGCTCTATCCTTACCTTCAGGAAGGCTCTCCTGCCTATTGCAAAAGCCAATGTTGCATTGGTAGATTAAATAACTTTATGCAGTGCTGAGGTTGCATCAGTGCAAGTGAAAATAAATCTTCCTTTTGACTTTAAAGCTGAATGAGGCAGGATGATCCCCAGCTGTTTTTTGGGAATGGCTGCAAGTTGCTTCTGGATGCTGCGCCTGGTATATTCCAACACAAGTACCATTTTTAGGAAGTCATTCAAAAGAGCAGAAAGAGCTGTTATAACACTACTATACTATAGGTTATTACATTCTTATAACCCGAGGTATGCCTAGCTGCTGGTAAGTTTTCAAATACAAACATAAAATTATTTTTGTTTGAGGAACTCTATTTTTCAGAGGTACAGGGTATGGCCTGGTGCAGGCACACTGAGCAGTTGAAGGTTATTTTGATGAAAGCGTGAATAGGTGCTAGGCTAAGCTTATTGCTGCAGTCTGAGTTCAGGCTTAGAAGAGAAGGCAAAACTTAGGCTTAGAAGAGTACTTTCCTTTTTAAACTGGAGGGATCAGGCAGAGGTTGAGCTAGTGGAACATTAGCAAAATCCAGTGGTTTATGCATGCTTATGTTGCACAAAGTGCTTTTTCTTAGCCAAGGATTTTGCTGGGTGCTTGTGGTAGGGACAGAAGTGATGACAGAAAGCTTAGTGGCCGTCAGTGGGCATGTTTGGATAGAATGGGACCAGTGGTGCTGTAGAAAGTTTGGCTCCTGTTTTGCTTTTGATTTCCAGGTAACACGGTTGTGTTAAAGTGGTGTTTAAGGAAATAGTATTCTCCTCTCCTCTTTCCACGTTCATAATTTATTGAACAAGCCTTTTCACAGCTATAGCATGTCTATAGCATAAAAGATGAGTTTTTCAAAGGGGGCATTGGGTTTAGTTCTGAATTCATAAGAATTTATGTAGTAACTATATCTACCGTCGCAGTCAAAAAGAGTTGTAAATGGCTGAGCTGCCTGACCTGTGCAAGTGAGGTGCATGTCCAGACATGGAGCTTGCCATTACCTAACTGAAATTTTGAGGCATATAGAATCTGACATTTGCCTTTGCATTTGTAAGAGGAGAAAAGGGCTGATTCTACCTCATTTCATTTTTCTTTCAT